GATCCAGACAGCAAAGGCAGCAGGGGATTCTTTTATTATAAGCATTTTATTTCTATTTGTTCCTTGACCTTTTATTTGCTGAAAATAAAAAAAAATTGATATTTTGACATGTGCAGTGCCAGAGCACAGGAAAACCACTCGTGATCGTCAGGGTCTCTGAAATAAGAAAAATAATGTGTTTGAAGGTGTAGAAGAAAACCCTTGGCACCAGAAAGAATAAGACACCATGGTTCTAGGGATGGGAAATGTTGATAGTCATCAGAGGACTCCACGCAATGCAGACTTTTGCAGTGCCCTGAGGGCACGTGGCATGGACCCGTCTGTTCCCCTGCAGCAGTGCCCGGGCAGTCTTCAGGACACCCATTGAAAATAAGTGGAAAGTTTTGGCTTCTGATTGGCTCTGTTGGAACTGGCCTGCCTGAAAGTTCATCTTCAGGTAAAATTTGTGAACACTGACTGATCTGGGTATAATTCACTCTAGGTGAGTATTTTTTTAATATCACCATAAGATGACTGAACCCTTATTAAGGCAAGGCTCACCTGAAGTGCCTTTCTAAAACTTATCTCTCCCAGTAGAAGAGGGCAAAATAGCATTTTTTCCAGAGTGCGACATGCTTGGTTCAACTGGTATCCATCAGACACCGAGAACAGTCTCCAAGGACAAGAGAAATAAAAACCCATTCATACTCTTTGGTTTGAGCCCAGGAATCTGTTACCATCAACACTATGTCTAAACAGCTATTCTTCAGATATACTAGTGGCCTGTTACCACTTGGCACAAGCTTGTCCATAGCCAACTAGACTCTACCATGGGTCATAGTATAACTTAGAATATCATTACCAACCTTTGAAAAGGAACCACTAATATGTATACAGGAAAGGTACTCTACTTACAACCACCCAATGAACAAACTACACAATTAAAATCTAATTATTTTGCTTTCCAAGATATTAAACCTTCGATTCTCTTCTTTCCCCATTAATACTGGTTTCTCTCCCTGTCCTTATTTTTTTTCTTATAGAGATGCTTACCAATATCAGTTCTTCATTTAGAAGCAAATATTGCTATTATAGATTCAACTTGAGTAACAATTTTCCCAACAGAAATTCAGCTCAAGGAACCTCAACCATCTGAAACATATCTAAGAATGGGAAATAAAGGTCAATGGCAAAAAATGGTGTGAGGATCCATGACCCCAGGGATGCCTCTCAAATCCTAACTCTGAGAGATTATTTGCTCATATTGCATCCCCGGTTTAATACTTGCCTGTCTGGGTGAGACACCGGTATCTTGTCAGATACTGTATTACTTGGAGATACAAAAATGGATAAAATATGCTCAAGGGATTACAGTTCTAATAAAGTTACTAATCTGGTTTCCCACGGATTATACCCACAGAAGAACAAAGACTAAAAAACAATTTTAAAAACTCCCATAGGCAGGCACACAGATAGCGGCGAGATCAAATCTATTATGGGTTATATTTTTAACTGCAGAGTTAACTTGAAGCCAATCACTCAAACTCTGGGTATCCATTTAGATTACATTATGTCAAAGCTCCTATTCCATCCTAAAATTCTATGAATATGGTTTTTAAAACAGTTGATAATCTGATAATAGGAAATAATTGTTTTACAAGCACAAGATGTCAAAACAAAACAAAAACAAAACCCCAGCAGTTTGGGGTAATTGGTAGGCACAAAGTATTTTACCTTCTGCAGTGGGCTTTATCGTGGCACATGAATATTGTTCACAAAGGCCCAGGATATTGTTAGGCCTACATCCTTTATCCTAATCATTTTTACTAGGCTCTCCATTGGCAGGCATTTTGTCCATCTTAAAATAGTGCCTGTCACATGTGTCTCCATACTTTTTTGAAAGAAATAATCTTCACTTTCGATGATTTTTTAATTTTTGCAGTTTTATAAAGAAATTTCTGGGAATTATTTTTGATCTCTAAATGAAACTGCCTCTGATGCGTTGAGAACTGGACACTGGCCAGGTGTCCCATGAATTTAACTCTTTCTGACACTATGTGGAGATAGCATCAGATCTCATAAGCTAAGAGCTCAGAGGTCTCACAAGGTGGCCCTCCCCAACCCACATCAGATGCTAATTAGAAGTCAGGGTTATTACCTGTGGTTCTGACTGACTGGCTATAACAGAAATTCCTACACCCCATCCTTGGGTTGGATTAATCTTGCCAGAGCAGCTCACAGAATTCAGAGAAACACTTACACGTTTATCAGTGTATTATAAAGGATACAGATGGATGAATGCCATATGAAGAGGTCCATAGGGTGAGGTCTGGAAGGGTCCTGAGCACAGAATTTCTTTCCTCCATGGAACTGGGGTGCACCACCCTCCTGGCATATTTACCAACCCAGAATCTCAACAAATTTTGTTCAAGACTTCTTATAGAGTTTTAATCTCTATTCCACCCAGCCCTTCTCCATTCCAGAGGTCACTGGGGCTGAAATTTCTAACCCTCTAATCACTTATTTTTTTCTGATGACCCCCATAAACTCTGGTGTGATAGAAAGGGATTGTAATAAATAAAAAAAGAGACTGCTATTATTTAGGAAATAAACAAGGGTTTTAGGAGTTCTGTTCCAGAAAGCAGACAAAGCCCAGATATATTTCTTATTATATGACACTGCCTCTGCTTTATTCTGTAACTTCCTCCTTTGAGGTGGGTTATAGTTTCCAAATGATTTCTTAAAGAATGGAGTGGCATGGGGGGAAGGGAGGAAAAGGTTTCTTCCTCCCTCTTGGGTCTCTGGCTACGTCTGAAAAGTAGACTGATAAAGACAGATCAACAGGAGAAAAGCATACACATTTTATTAACTTTTTTCCATGTACAAGGAAGCCATCACAAAAGCATGAAGATTTGAAGAAGTGACCAGAGAGGGAAGTTTTTCTACTTTCTAGACAATGAAACAGTACATGTGTGAAGAATTTGACAAGAAAAAAGGGATCTGGGCTTGGTGTAGTATGTCGTAAAGAAGTAACCAGGAATATAAAGTTAGTATAATGAAGTTTGTTTATACAAATTTCTGGGCTCCAATTCCCTGACTCTGGTGCTAGGACGGTCTCCTTTCCTCCAGGTACAGGGCGGGTAGGGTGCCTTTCATGTGGGAAACTTATCTCCTGGGTTCAGGGAAGAAGGGCAATGGTGGGAGGTCAGAGTGACCTTCCTGCTTCCACTGTTTTTGCAAACTCCTTCAGTTTAAGATACTCAAAATGCCAAGGTGCTATATTTTGGGGGAGCATGTCCTGAATCCTATCAGGGAAGTATACTGTCTGAATCATTGTATGTATAAAATTGTCCTTCACACTTCACACTCGAAAAATAACTTGCCTGTGTATAACAATTTTTAAAAATCTTTGAGGCTGGTATTGTAAGCATTCAGAGTAGCAATACTGGAGAGCTTAACTTTGATCGATCAGATTAGTAACTGATTATGGAAGGGATGGAAATGAGGATAGAGAATGAAACAGATTTCTGATATTTTTTCTGTCCTTCTGCCCCCCAACCCAAAGACATAAGGACACCCCTATTAAGGGATGGCACAAAGGGGAAAGACTGGGGACGTATTTAGAAGTCTACAGAACATGTAGACTGGGAAAGTAGCTGAGAAAGAGGTCTAGTATGGCTTCTAGGGTTCTTGCTGGAGTGACTTCCTACTCGTGCTTAGGTGAATGTAATACTTTTGTGATTATCCACTAAACTCTTCTCTCTCTCATCATCATGCTTCAATTTGTAATTGGACTGTATTTTCAGGGCCCTTCAAAGTCCCCATGAATTGGCCACTCTGATTATGTAAAGTCTGAGGTTTTGCAATTCCTCTAGATGTACCCTTTCTAAATGGCTCCTCTCTTTGAATTTTTATTGTATTGAAGCAAATCTCTATTACCCCTTATCATATTGTATTGTAATTCAAAGAGTTTGCCCATTTGTCTATCTCCTTTGCACTGGGAGCATCTCAGGGAGCACAGCATGATATTCATCTCTGTACCTCCGAAGTTGGCAATAAATTAAATTAAAGCAGCAGTTATAAAACCAATGGCTTTTTACAGAAAGCAAACACATAAAAAAAAACTTCCTTTCACATACAGGGAGTTTGTAAGAGAGTTTGTAAGTCCAGGGAGAGGAAATCCTGGGGCAAAATACCTCTAAAAACCACAATCAGTCAAGGGAGAAATGAAATTTAAAAACCTGTTTATTGCTTACAAACTGCAGTCCAGGGCCGGCTCTCTCTCCTCTGCTCCTGAAGAAGCAAGTCCCGCCCCTCCTCCTCACCTCTCAGGTACAGGTAAGCCCTCAGTTGCCCAGGCAATTACCCACTGATATGGAGATGAACTTCTCTCCACCCCTGAGGAATGATGCAAATGAACTAAAGCCATACTTCTCTCCACCTCTGAACACCTACTCATATGCAGATGTACTAAAGCCAGGCGAGATATTCTGGAAATCTTACAATTTTACCCACAGTGATATAACAGAAAGTATTTTAATAAAAACAAGGACACAAACAAAAATTCACAACTGAAGCTGAATCTTCAGGATACCTTTAACTACTTAATCAATCATACACAGGGTCCAAGGGCAGGTCTCCCCATGTGCTGTTGTGACATGCAGAATGTTTTGAACAGAAAACCATCACGAGCCAGAAAACCAAAAGATGCAGAAAGAAACTTTGACATTCCACCCTCCCCGACCCCCACAATGGCAAAAAAAGAATTTAGATGGAAGTTATCACCTTAGATAACCATATTGTAGTGTGAACGAGGCAGGGTACGCAGGGAAAGGCGGAGCTGAGTCTGTTCAGATTCCTCTCTGTGCCCACTCCCAGCCCCTTTGTTTCTGCGTGGGCCACCAGATATTTGCTTAGCAACCATTTTCTCTTTTCATATTCCTATGAATTACTTTCCTTTTCCTTTAGCCTCTCAGACCCCCACCCCCTTCTCCTTGGTTCAGAATGACATGTGTACATACCTGTCTCCTCACTGTCTTCAGAATTCATGTCTATGGCTTCTGCGTAGGTACAGTTAAAACTGGTTTTCTGTTTTTCTCTCCTGTTAATCTGCTTCATGTCAGTTTGATTCCTAGACCAGCTAGAACTTCCAGGGGCAGAGGACATTTCTTCCTTCTCAACAATCAATTCATTCATTCATTCATTCATTCATTCATTCATTCATTCATTCATCCTCCAACTCACTGAGGAATCAGGCATGGGCAGGGTGTTGAAGGCAGAGATCAGACAACATGCACCTTTGGGCTGGCTGAGGGACTAACAGAGAAACTGCATTTTACCAAAGGCCTCATTATTTCCCCTTGAGGGCAAGGCCTGCCCTTGAGCTCGCGCAGACTTGTAGGGGAGCTTCACAGGGCAGGCACCAAGCCTCACCGGTCTTGTCAGACTGCTAGTGGGCAATCTATGGGTACTTGCTTAATTAAGGTGAGAATGCAAAAAAACAAAAATCCAAAAGCCAAGTCACTGTTCCCATCAAATGAACATTATAACTGAGATGGTGAAAACTGAAAATTCAGCTTGTTTTAAAAACATTCAGAAGCACCACTGCTCTTCCAGGGAAACACACCATCACCGTGTCATTTAAGAACAGTGGGCCTCCAAAGTTGACCTGGAGTCCAAGCGAGACATTCATTTCCCTTTGGACTAAATGTATGTGTAAAGGAGAGAGTAGGGGTCCAGAAGAATCGAAGGCGACGGGTGGTCTCTGCTGAAGTGCCGGCAGCTGTGAGCGTGGCCGAGAAGGGAGGCCTCCCCCACCACTCGAAGGTGACCTCCGGGACGGGGAGGGAGCGCGCGCGCCGACTGGAGCCCCTGCCCTTGGAGGGGATGGAGCGGGCCGAGGGGAGGGCCGGCGGGGATCGGGTTTCCAATCACAACGGAGGACGCTGCGAGGCCGGGCGGGGGGCCCCGCCTCCTGCGCGCTCCGGGCCGGCCCAGCGCCCGGCAGACGCACGTCTCGACCCCGTCCGGCTTGCGCGCCTCGCAGCCGCGTGGAGACCCTTCTGCTCCGGGTAGGTTTCCGCCTCAGACCCTGATCGTCGATTTGCGGGCCGCCCGGGCGGGACGTGCTGCGGAGTCGTTGGATAGCGAGACTGGGAGAAGGACCGCGAAGACATCCGCCTTCTGGTGCCCTTAGCATCCGGATCGGGCTGTGACGCAGCCCCGGGTCTGGGGCGGAGGGGCGGCCCGCGGAGGGGAGCGACCCAGCCCCGGGCCTTCTCCGGCCCGCCGCAGGGCTCGCCTCCAGCCTGTGCCCCATCAGGGGAGGGTTCCTGGCACTGATGCCAAAGCTCGGGCCCCGCGAGTCCTTGACCTGCTCGCTGCCTCGCCGCGGTTCCTGCGGCGGGAGCCCGGACACGTGCCTGCGTTTGGCCGGGGAGCGCGTGGGAACCGGTGACTTGGGAAGACGGGCTGATCCGGAGCCGGGGCATGGGAACCTTCCTCCGCGGCGGTGGAGAGACGCCCCTGCATTGGCGGGGGGGAGGAGGGTGCAGGGTGCAGGACGGGGCACGGTCTGCGGCTTGCGCTCTGAACTCCCGTCTGTACCCGCCGCGACGCAGCCCTTTCCGCAGCCGGAGGCCAGTACTTTCCTGGCCTCATTTCTTTGTGACTCTGGTGTTTTGTTTACCTTGCCAGCTTTGGGTCTTCAGGGTAAGGCAGGCCTGCGCTTTTCCCCAGCTACCTCCTCCTAGGAGCTCTGTGGCTGCTGCCTCCCCTTGGGACCTGCGGCTCCCCGCTGCCCGAGCGGGAGGGAGAGGCGGCCTGCAGGTGGCGAGCAGTGCCAGCCGCAGTTAGGGCCTGGGGAGGGGGAGGGGAGAGCTGGCTCTTGTTCAGTGGAGGAATTAGGTGGCAAAAAAGACTTTTTAGACGGTTAGAATTGGGAGAGAGTCTGCAGAGAAGATCTTGTTCCCGAACTTAAGGCACTGGTTTATTGGTTCCTAAACTTTAATGATTTATATGAGGGTTGAGGGAGAGACCAAAAAGTATTTTTGTTTATTCTCTTAGTCTTTCTTTTTCCTTATGGCCACCACAGATCTTGGCACAGGCCTGGGTATAATACAAAACATGATCTTCCAATTTCTTAGAATTCTATTAAATAGAAAAAAAATTTTTTAAAGCACTTTTCTGCCGTAAGTATGTACTGGCTCTAAATTTTAAAATTGCAGTTTCTGAACTTGTAGCCTCTAAGATTGTGGTTTCTGAAATTCCCAAAATTAATTTAAAAGATAGCCTAACAACTAATATAAATAGCTGTCATTTCTGGATTTTTGTTTTCCACTGCTTACTGGGTTCTCTATATACATCAAGGACTTTAAACCAACTAAGAAAATTAGATTTACTGGAGAAAAGCTGTGCATTCGTATCTCTATTCAATAAGAAGAGAGGCAGCATTCTTTTCTTCTGATCTGCCCCAAATGCTGCATGTGTCTGAATCCCACTGTAAGGCCATCCGTTTGTGGAGACAGTTGAACAGCGTTGCATGTTTCTTTATCAACCATGGGAAAACTGCAGATTTGTTCTGTAAATGCAAAACACTGTCATTTCAGTTCCTACCTAGATTACGGGAAGATGTCTTGGGGTGAACATAACTTTAGAACAGAATAGTTGTTAACACAGTTGCCTTCAAATTCAAGTACTTTATACTAACTCAGAGCCTTACTAGGTTTTGTTACATAGTCCGTTACAGATGAGAATCAAAACAAGTCTGGAAAGCAGAGGCATAGTGAAAGGGTGGCCTTCAACACAACAGTCGAGCATAAAAAGGAAAAAGAAAACTAAAATAATAGACATTAAAATGGGTTACAATTACTATAAGTGGTAGTTACAGAGGGCTTAATTATGATCTATACCCTTCCTGTTCAGGAAAACAGAACAGTTATTTGGTGTACTAAATCGTCATGGAATTGTTAGGTTTATTTCAGTACGTTTTGGCATTTGTTTTAGTTGTTCAGAAAATGCACCTGATTACCTGATGGTGTGGATAAATTTATGTTACTATGTAGAATGTTTTCCAACTGGTTTCTTTCTCTTTTTGTTCTAATGGCTGGAAAGAAACCAATTCAAAGGCTGATACTCTCCTAATGTGACCTCCTGAAAGGAAAATGTATAAGTACTATCCAATTTCCAATTAGCTTCTAAGGTGCACTTAAAGGAATTCAGAGTGATATTTTTGCAGATTCTGCATACGTTATTTATCACCATTATATTGTCACTGTATTTATTAAGCTTACATTGTAAGTCCAATACACTGTGACAAATTTTAAGTGAAGCTTGAAGTGGAAGAACCAGTGCCATCTCCAAGGATAGGCAGTAGCAGAAGTTGTATTCACAGCTAGGCATTAATTATTTGAGATCAGGCTTAAATAGGAGATCATTCTGGACCCTTAGTTACATATAAATTCTTTATGGGGGGAATGGAAACAGGTCGGCTAATTTAAATATAAATGTAGATCTTTTAGCCAGGAAATGAAAGCCACTGGACAGAATCGTTACAACTTGTTGAATATTAACACAGTATCATAAGCCGAAGAGCAGAACTCAAATTCTAATGGGTTTCATGGAGGTTTTGTTTTAATTCAATTCTCCTTAAATAGGTTACATGTTTCTTTAAAGTGCATTCTGTGTTCTAGACTATCATTAAGCTTGTTTTAAACTACTTTAGTTCAAAATTGCAACCATAACATTTTAAAGATGATTTGCACTCAGCATTCATGTGTGCCAGTATGTGTGATGTTTTGATTCTTTTCCTGCAGGGCACAATGGCAACTCTTAAGGAGAAACTGATTGCACGGGTTGCAGAAGAGGAGGCAGCGGTCCCAAACAATAAGATCACTGTAGTGGGCGTTGGACAAGTTGGGATGGCCTGTGCGATCAGCATTCTGGGAAAGGTACATTTCAAGAATGCCATGCAGGACAGACAATGTCAGTGCATGTGTACAGTCTCTGAGGCATTTTATGATTTTATTGTCTCTTTCAAAGATCTTTTCCTGGACAAGTTTAAGTAAGTTGTAGACATATGACACCTCACGTTTGAGTACCTGAGCCTGTGTCCACTGAGAGAATATGACGCCTATATGACCACCATAGAATAACTACACTCAGGGAACTTCTCATCGACACTGATATAATACTATTACTTAATATACAGTAACCAGAGTTAAAGTTCTGTTTTATAATAAGCTTTCAATAGCTGTTTTCACCCCAATCCAAAGTCCTGTATTTTATATTCTTGTCATATCTCATCATCTTTCTTTAATCTGGAACTGGCAGTCAGCCGTTCTGTGTGTCTCGTGTCATTGACATTTTTGCAGAGTCCAAGTCAGTTTTATAGAATGTCCCTCAATTTTTATGTTGGTCTGATGTTTCCTTGTAATTAAGTTCAGGTTAAGTTTTGGGGGTGGGGTTATGACTAGTTGATGCTGTGTCCTTCCCAGGGCATGACATAAGGAGGCATGTGATGCTCAACTTGGGTCATTGCTGCTGGTGCCCAAGACTCCCCTGATTGAAGGGATGGTAAGACTCCCCCACTGCAAAGGCCCCCTTTACCTTCTGTAATTAATAAGTAATCTGCACAGAGGCTTTCTGAGGTCATGGAAATTCCCCTGAAAGTTCCTGAGAGTACATATCCTAATAGGTGATATTCTCATGTAATCAGTACAGTTTCCAACATCAGAAGATTTAAAACTGATGCTATGCTAGCACCTTCCACTCCTGCAGACTACATCTTCCCTGTATACCTCCTTCGACTTCTGGCTTAACCCCCAGAAAAGCCCTTGTAGTTCATAGTTCACTTTCTTTAGTCTCCAAGGACTTTGGAGGAAAGAGCCATTTTCTATTTACGAAATAGATTCCTGGATCTTTCTGAAAACTACCTTAAATGTAGGAACCCTACCGCCCTCAAAAATAAAAAAAGCCGCCTTCCCTTCAGTGGAGTACACTGTCTCTTTGTGTCCTGTCTGAAGGCTGCCTGAGTAACGCCTAGCGAAGCAGACTTTCCATTTCCATCAGCAAAGCTTGAATTCTAAAGGAACAAACTCTGAGTCTTTACTGAGGAAAAAAAATCAAATCAAGTGAACGGTGCAGTGCATGCCAATGAAGGTTTTACTCTCTTGCATTTTTTTCTGGCTACTATGGACATAAGTGCCTTAGGATAGTTGCTCCCCAAATTTAATCACCATTGAGTGCTCACACTTCACACTAGTTAAAATGATAAGTATTATAGCTTACACTTCTTCTACAGCATTGAGCGTGCACTGTGTTAAATCCTTCGTTATAAATAACCTCAAAAAATAGCAAGTGTAAGTGTCCTGTTCTCAGATGGGATGGGGTAGCTGAGGCTTGGAGAGATAAGCAGCCTGCCCACAGTCATAGCTGTATATGGTAGAGCTCTGAACTCTTAACCATAGTGACTCTCCAGTTTCCTTTTATTCTATGCTAGCAGTTAGGCAGTTAAAAACATAAAAGCTTTTAATGCAGTATCTGCTAGAGATTTTTCTTTCCTCCTCCTACCCTCAAGATTTGGGCTTTTCAGGAAACTATCTGAGCTGTCATGATCCTGCAAGAAGAACCTGTATGGTTGTTTAAATCGTACCTTTAACCTCTCCAGTAGAGTTGAGACCACCTTTGCAATTACATAAATTACATACCACTCTGGCCCAGTGCCGCTGCTGGAGAGAACAGACCCTGCTCCTAACACAGCGGAAAATTCCAGTTTCGATGTTCTGAAAGAATGGCTGCCTTGTCCAAAGACCATTTTGGTAATTAAAAATGTTTGCCTTGTTTTAATGGGTAAGGATTAAAGAGCTTCAAAATTGTTAACCAATATTTGGGAAGGATTATAAACCCACTAGCTGAACAGGGAAGAAAAGAACAGTGCCCACTCTGTCAGGTGTGTGTCTGTTTCCTCACTGACGACTCCCCAGGCTGCAGGGGAGCAGTCTCATGCATGTATGAGTATTGCCAAAGAATAAATGCAGAAAGGTTAAGGGTTTGATGAAGGTCACACAGATAGTAAGTGCCAGGTAGGACCTTTCAAGTCCATCCATGGTGTACTCTGTTGGGCACACCGTGCTTTGGCCCCTGAAGTGGGTGAGGCTAGGACGTGACGGGTAGGGAGGCTGAGGGAGGTCTCCTTATGAAGATGCAGTTATTTTCTGCCTCTGTTGCCCACGCTCCCCACTCTGCCTTCATACTAACCCTGCTGAGCTTTTATAGCAATTGTATCTCCCCTACTTAAGACTTTCCAATAGTTTCACAGGGTACATGTACTTCACACAGTACATAGAATCCCATGAGGCTGCACAGACCTGCCCCTGTCTGTCTCTGAGAGCAGGGAAGTGGCATGCACAACTCCAGGGGGCGCCATTCACAGGGTCAGCAGTGCCTTCCAGTGCAATATGATCGTATGTCTGGCTAGTTGCTTACCATCTGCTCTTTGCAAAACACCAACCTCATTTCTGCTTAAAACACTTGCATTTCGCTTCCCCTGAATGTTCTACCCTCGACCATCACAGGATGGACTCCTGCCTCATTCCTGTCACACCTTTGCCTGCACCCTTCCTTGACTCTCCAGTATAAAGTAACTTCCTTCCTAGGAATTGTAACATCACCCTGCCTTACAGTCTTTATACTACTTCCACCATCAGAAACCATCTCGTTTGCATAATTCCTGTGCCCTCCCCCGATAAATTCCATGAGAGCAGGGGCATGGCCGATTTAATCAGCTTCACTTGCATTTTGTCAGATTTTGATCATAGCTTTTGCTTTTCCCTTTGGTCACAGCTTCTCATGGTTTCTGCTACCAAATAGGACATCTGTTCCAAATAGGACATCTCCCGCACTACTAATCATAGGCTCTGCATTTAGCTGCCAAGAAGATCTGAATGTTGACCTCATTCTTGCTTGGCACTGTCTTCTGAAGCTCCCATGCAAGGTTATCATAGATCCTCAGCCTTTGTCCAGCTGTCTCTGTTTTGTATCCTCCCCCACTTCAGTCACCTGTAGCCATGGTCTTACGGAACAGGTACAGCCTAAGAAGTCTGGTAGAATGAGCAGTGTAATTACAAACATTATAGCAATGTCTTTTTTGCAGTGCAGGACTTGGGTTTAAAATAGTTCAAATTAAAATGCGGTGTTTGTGCAAGAACAAACATTTGCATGGAACAGACTAAAAGCAGGCAAACAGGCTTGAACAGTATTTAATAATAAGTACTGGCATTCCAAATAAATTATTAAATAAATGATGTTTGTCCATTTAGCTAATTATTTGGAAGCTGTTCTCATTCTCCCTCACACTTCATTTTATGCAGACTAAGCACTTACATATAAAAATGCATCCATCAAGTGCTAAGGTGTACGTGGCTGTAACTGATCAGCTAAGAGGACAGAGAGGCAGGTGATGGCTGTGTCTGGCCCATGATTTTAGATACGACATTTTTGTAGTATGTTAAAGCGCTTTAGCAGTGATGTTCCTGGCGTCTAACAGCCCTAGTTCCTTAATAAGATTGCTGCTTATGCAATTAGCCTTTCAAACTATTTAAAATATATTTACAGCTTAAGTGATCTGTGTGTAAAGTGATAGGCTATGCAGTATGTCAATACAGATGGAGATTTATTTAAGCCAAACCACCGTGTCATTACTTAGTCACACATCTTCTGTTCTCCTGCCTCCACATTTGGAGGATATTTGGTTATGCAGATGCTGCTAAATTCAGCGCTACGATTATCCTTTTTTAAGGAGCTGGAACTCTTCCTTCCTTGCCAGCTGAGTATGTTCTTCTCAGCCAATTCTCTGCACCCACTGAAACAAAAGACAGGATCTGAGGTCCTGTGACATCCTTTTCCACTTAAGCCTGGAATTGTTTTGCCCTATTGACTTCAGCGGCAAACATGTGATGTTACTAAAATAAGAACGACGTTCCTAGTGCTCAGTACCTTGACAGAGTGTCATGTCTATTATTGAGTGTGTTAATCAGCTTAAAAAACACAAAGGAGAATTTTGTGTGATCTTGTCCGGCTGCAGAGGAACAAAAGCATTTTGAGAGTGTCAAGAATGCGTTTCGGTCAAGTGGATGAAGGTGAATGCCATTATTTGGTATAGATGGAAATGCAGAAATAGTTACCAACACCCATCTGGTATTTCTAGTCTCTGGCTGATGAACTTGCACTCGTGGATGTTTTGGAAGATAAACTCAAAGGAGAAATGATGGATCTGCAGCACGGGAGTCTATTTCTCCAGACACCCAAAATTGTGGCAGATAAAGGTACTTTTCATTTCATGCCCAGAGGGATCATAAAAATTGCTATCCTCTGATATAAAATTAGTCTTCTCTCCTGGTGAAATAAATGGGCACTTTCTTCTTTCCTTCTGTGTCCAATTCTTGAGGACAAATTCATGTGTATCCCCTCTATAAATCCTCCCCCATATTTGATAAATAACATTTTAGGAAATTGTATCATAATGCTTGTTTACATGTCTCTGAAAGCGGGAATGTTTTCAACCCCCCAAAGATAATTTACACAAAGTAATTTGAGTGCCCTGAAGAAATTCAAGTTAAATTTCTAAATTTCTAGCTGTCTCTGTTCTGGGTTAGCACATTCATTCAGGGATACCACCACCGTAGCATGGCTGTGTCTAAAGATACAGAAATATAAGCCTCCAAAATAATTTCTAGCTATACCATTAATAATAGATGTTATTCATTGAATTATTAGCATTCTGGGTTTTGTGTGAAGCTTTCTGTATGTCTCATTTTATTTCATCTTCCCTCATAACCCTGTGGAGTTAGCTCTTCTTACCACCATTTTATGGGAGAGGAAAATAAAAAGTATTTCTGTCAAAGTTACCTAGTAAGACAGTTCAGTTATGTGACTCATCCATAGCTCTTGAGTCTAATAATCACATCAAATCATAATGTCTGTATATTTGGGGAAAGACACTTCCTTGAAGAAAAATAAAATATTCTCCAGAGAACCTCACTGCTAAAAGTGAATTAAAATACTGACTTTTAGAAAGTAGTTTCCAGCAAGGAACAATTATTTCTGTGCCTTCCTTTCCCCTTTGTAGATTGAATTGACATTACAAACCAAAAAATGCCCTTGAATCACTTTGTTGTTTTCTTTGGGGGTCACCCATTGAACTTTGGATTCACTGTTGATGCTTTACTACTGACAATCCAATATTCTGTCAAGTCAATGGCATGTGGAATTTGTTAGCCAGAAACATAATTTCGGCCCTTCTTTATGTCCTTGGTCCATTTTCTGAGCCCTTTTTGTCACTGGATTATTTCCCTGGAACTTGAGGAAGAGGCCATTCCTGTTGAGAAAAGCATACTCTTCAAAATCTTATTACACAGAAAAAGTCAGAAACTTACGTGTGTTTAGTTCCTAGATCATATCATGTCTGATGTGAAGAAGAATTGATGAACAGTTGTTTTTAAAGTAATCCTTTCTCCCCTCCTCCAAGACTACTCTGTGACTGCCAATTCCAAGATCGTGGTGGTGACTGCTGGAGTCCGCCAGCAAGAGGGGGAGAGCCGCCTAAATCTGGTGCAGAGGAATGTCAATGTCTTCAAATTCATTATTCCTCAGATAGTCAAGTACAGTCCTGACTGCATCATAATTGTGGTTTCCAACCCAGGTATTACTACAATGCCTTGATTAAGGTCCACTTCTGTTAAGTTAAATGTTTGGGTCTTTTGTTTTATTTTGTTTTTTGAACTTAAAAGAAATCTGTTCCTAGTATCCACTAGCCAAAAAGCATTCTGGTATTTGCAAAACAAATGGCACTGTCCCAGGTCAAATGTTTAAAAAATGTGAGAAGAGTTTTATATAAAGCAATTTCATCTGTTTGTTTTATCTGAATTTGTTGCAGGCTAAAAGCTTTTAAAATTTGCCATAAAGATTTTCCTGGGATGTGTAATGCAACATTTGAGTATATCTTCAATGTGTAAGAAAACATTTCAGTATATATGTATATATGACCTGTTTGCAAGAAAAATGCATTATAATGGACTTACTCTCTAAAATTCTTCAAAATTGAATCAGGTTGAGTTTGGGAAGCATTTAAAAGCCATTAATCAGTCCAGTTTTAATGACAGAAACAGACTTAGGTTAAACAGATAGATGCAAACACCAAATTTTATAACTTAAAAGCTGCTTTCCTTCCTAAATCAACATTTGCAGAAGAATCCTTTAAAGTTCTGGCTAGAGAGAATTGCTTTTTTTTAGCCTAAATAATAAAAACTCAGTCTCTATTGTACACTTCTTTTGTCTGTAATTTGCCACCAAACATACTGTTCATTGGTGAGCATGTAGAAACCCTAATAAAATGGTAAAACTGATTGACACTTGGCTTAGAGAAAGACTGAATAAGAACCAGGAGAATCACAATAGGTGTACCTTGGAGGTAGTTTTTTTTTTTAAAGTATTCATCAATACATAATCTTTAGATGATTTCTCATAAACAACACAGTGTTTTCAGCATCCACCCATATTATCAAGTCCTCACCCCCTCTATTGCGGTGACTGTCTTATCAGCATAGGAAGATGCTACAGAGTCATTACTTGTCTTCGTCTTAGAGGTGCTTTCCACAGGTTGTTTCAGGCCGTGACAAGAAAGCGAGTATCACAGTAATGCGAGTCAAATGAATTTTCTGGTTTCCCAGTGCACATTTCTCTTGCTAAAAAATGCTAACCATCGCCTGACCTTTCAGGTGACCTGTGATCTTTTTGCTGGTGGAAGGTATTAACCTCAGTGTTGATGGCCATTGACTGGTCAGGGTGGTGGCTGCAGAAGTTGGGGTGGGCGTGGCCCTTTCTTACGATAAGACAACAGTGAAGTTTGCTGCGTAGTTTGACTCTTTGCTTTCACAGGCGATTTTCAGACATGGGGTGCCGTTTGACAGCATCAGTAGATGCTACCCCGCAAGTTATCCGCAGTGGAGCTACTTTCAACACTGGGGTCAGACCTGCTGCTGCTGCAGCAACTGAGTCTTAGGTTATTTCAATAGTCTGCTGTTCTACTTCATCAGGAGTAGCTGCTGTCTCTCAAGAGATACTTTCTGTGCTTGTCTATAAGAAGCAACTCAGCCATTCAGGTTTTATGCTGAGATGGCAGCAGTTCAGTCCCATCTTCAGGCTCCACTTCTCACTCTAGTTCTCTTCCCCCCATTTGCCATCAGGATACACATTTATTGGTTAAGTTTTCCATCTTTGATGAATACACTTTTTTTCACCCCAAAACAATTAAATGGTAACATAAAGATCACTGATCACAGATCATGAAAATAAATGTAATAACAAAAAAAATTAAATATTGTGAGAATTCCCAAAGTGTGACACATAGATACAAAGTGAGCAAATGCTGTTGGAGGAAAGGGTACTGATCTATTTGCTCTATGCAGGGTTACCACAAACCCTCTGTTCGTAAAAAACACAGTTTTTGCCAAGTGCAATAAAATGAAGTATGTGATAGCTGTCAGTTTATTATGGAATATTAAGAGTTGGGAGCCAAGAAGAACAGAGATGATTTTACTATTCTCTGCAGTCCTGGATTGGGGGGTTACTACATAGTGTGATCTTATATATAAAACTTGTCATAAATAAATATATAACGGCAGAAGGATATGAAACAGGAGTGACAAGTACCTGGCACATAATACAGTTGGAGCATCCTGTGCCTGAGGCAGACAGACATTATTAACTGGTCATACAACTTTCTAGGCATAGCATCAAAAGTCTTAACTCTCCAGAGAGTCACCCCATTGAGTCAAAGTTGCCAAGGAAGAGTTTATAGTATCGAGTCCAAAACGACCTTAAAATATCTTAGTGGGTGTCTGCATATGCACGTGGCGGTGGAGACTAAAAGATTTATCCCTTGCCTGCCCTGCTTGTGCATGTTGCTACTTTTCACAGCCTACCCTGTAAGTGCTGTGGCCCTGTCTAGACCAGCCAGGTTTACCTGTCTGCAGTCTTAAGCTGTGCCACACTAGAATAAAGGTTCTATCACAGAGGTCCTTTCATTATATAGTAGAAATGTTAATACCCTGTATTATCAGAGTCATTTACTGAATAATATCTTGTGCCTGGGATGTACAGTAGCATGCCTTCGTAGTTTAGTAACCAGTGACATGGTTTATGATGACAGTCATTACAATCATGGACTGTTAGGAAGAATTAAGTGACAATCTGGTTCTCGTTCTCTCTCACCCCATTATCTCTTAACTGTGAAGTCAAAGGATTTATGTCTCTCTGGCCATGTCTCATGTTGGGACTGGGGAAGTTGGGAGGAGGAAGCAGGGGCACCCACAAATTGGCGTAACAGTTGAAATCAGTTTTGATTTACTTAACATGTTATTTCTAAAATTTTTAGTGGATATTCTTACGTATGTTACCTGGAAACTAAGTGGGTTACCCAAGCACCGTGTGATTGGAAGTGGATGCAATCTGGATTCTGCTAGATTTCGCTATCTTATGGCTGAGAAACTTGGCATCCATCCCAGCAGCTGCCATGGATGGATTTTGGGAGAACATGGCGACTCAAGTGGTAAAAAAAAGAAATAGTAATAATAATATTTACTGTGTATTTATGGTATCATTCTTGCCATCCTGAATTTTTTGTTTCTTAAAGATTGCTTTTATGTGTTTTCACATAATTCACATCACAAATAAGTAATTTCTTGGGGGATACTTTGATACTGACTAGGTAAATACAGGATTCCTTCTCAATTTTTGCCTGCTATGTTAGTATCCATTAATGATTCTTGATTAAATTAATTATTACTGTGATAGCTGTCAGACACTATTCTAATTCAGTCATTCTTTATACATTTATTAGTTGTACTCTACAGTAAAAGAGAGCTTTCTTTTCTCCATTTACGTATATCCATGTGGACTCAGATTTTTATTCTATTCCACACATGTTCCATCATCATCATTGTAGTGTACACAGTGTCCCAGATTGGGCAAGTTAGAGGCTCTTCAAGACGACTTCTGTGTCTTGGACATGTCCCATAATCTTCTAAGCCCTTTTTTTGCTTTCTGGAACAATAAAGTGTACCAGGTTCATCTTGAACTTCCCATTTCCTAGCACTAGCATCATTTGTTTCTCCAGTGAGTCCCATTTCCTTCTAAGGGGAATGGTATTTAGAAACCAAGATCTGGCCACAGGTGCGCTCATGCTTCTAGTATGTCTTTGCTTCTTAGGCCCTCTCCGTGGGCAGAACTATTATATCCGTCATGCTTATTGGAGGAGGAATGACTGGCTAACAAAAGGTTTTAAATAACTAGTGTTTACTGTTCTGTAATGTAAAATAAATAGCTTCACATGAAATCTGAGTTTTAATACACTGTTAGTAATGGTGTAGTATTCATTTTAGTAGTAAGAAACCATATGGTAAATGTCTCAAATATTTTCCTTAGGAATTTAAATAGAATTGTTGGGCATAAATTAGTTATTGTAAAAAGACCAACACTAAAATTATATTGCATTTCTATTTTTATAATGCTTTGTTTGGAAACAGAAACCGTTTATTCTAACTGCTTTAAGTTATTATTTCCCTTTTCATTTAAATGAAATACTTATATTTCATTTAATATGAATATTGTTACTATTTTAATATTTCTGTCCCAATTTTATGTAAAAATATTTATGAACAATTCTGATTGTAATTGATAACTCTAAGCCTATTTATTAAATCATAATACACTGACAAGGCTTATGGTATAAAACTTAGAATCTAAAACATTTTAATATTAATTATAATCTTTATTTTTTTGTTCTCTATGCATGGAACTATTTTCTCCCTAAAATATTAAGATGTAAATTTTCCTTTGAATTCAGTGAGATTGTATAATGTGATTTTTAGTAGAGTTTGCTATGGTACAAGAATTTTGTCTTACAGTCTTAAAACTACTGCATTTTTGCTTTTTTTATATAATGATGTGTTTTTTTGTTTGGACACATTGTACCACTTCATTCAAACATTCCTAATATTCAAGGATTTGTCTGAACTCATGTCCTATCTAAAAATATTTAATACAATATCTGGTGTACAGTGAAAGTTAAATAAATGGTAGTTATTAGCAGTTGTAGGATTACTAAAACTACAGATCTAGAAGTGATATTACATGTCCTGTACTTCAGGATTTGAATTTTAATGAGGAAAAAGTTGAAGCGAAGCAGGCATAGTGGCTTGCTCAAGATCCTTTAGCTAGTTAGTGATGTAACTACAACAGTATTCACGTCTCCTGATTCTTACCCATGTTTTGTTCACTTTTCACTGTGTCATTTTTCCTAGAACATCTTTTTTCCTGTTTCCAGATCGCATAGTTTTTATTAAAAGTCAGGAAAACGCCTTTGTTTCTCAGTAGTAAGCCTGAATTCACTCAGGTTGTGGACTGAAAGGGTGCCTTACTTGGCCCTGACAGCATTGCCCTTCACAGCCACACTAGACGCCTTTGCTCATGTTTCCTGAGTCTATAGTGTTTTCTTCCAAAGCTCCCTGAGGGACACATACTTGTTTTTCAAGTTCCAGTTCAAATGCCTATTTTTTGTAGCCCTTTCTGACACTCTTTTCCCCTAAATTAAGACCCTTATTTGCATTTTATTACACTCCCCATACTTCGGTGATAGCTCGTACCATTGCTTTAGTTTCTTTTGTCTGTTTCTCAACTGGGGTTTAAACTTACCCAGGACCCAGAGCATGTCCTTAGTCATCTCTGTACACCTAGATCTTCAGAATATTCTTTTGTCTGGGCAGGTGTTAAAAAGAGGCGAGGGGTGTTTTGGTGCATCAGAGCCTCCAAAAGGTGCAGCCAATGACAGACTTTGTCTTCTGTGCCTCTGGAGGCAGTCTTGGAAGGAAACATTTGATCAAGTTAAGACCAGAAAATGCATTATGGTTACATGGAGTTTCTTTCGAGAGATAGACTGGGTTTGATGGGGAATGAGAAGAGATAATTAGCCTGTGCAGACATACCTTGAAGATACCGTGTGTTCAGTTCTAGATCAGTATGGTCAAGTGAGCCAAATGAATTTTTTGGTTTCCCAGTGCCTATAAAAGTTATGTGTACACTATCCTATAGTCTATGAAATACACAATCACATTATGTATTTAAAAAACCCACAGTTTACATACCTTAAAAACTATTGATTAAAAAAGATATGCTGTCTTCTGAGCTTTCAACAAGCTGTGGTCACTGATTACAGACCACCATAACACATATAATAATGATGAAAAAGTCTGAAAGAATGCAAGAATCCCCAAATGCAGCACAGAGACACAAAGTAAGCTAATTGATGGTTGGGGAAATTGTGCTATGAATAGACGTGCTCAACACAGGGTTGCCACACAAAACTTCAATTTCTAAAAAATGCTGTATCTGTAAAGTGCAGTACAGTGAAGAGCAATGAAACGAGGCATGCTTCTCTTTGAATCTTATCCCAGAATTTGTTTTGTTTTTACTTTACTCCAGAAGAAAGGGGTTCATATTTAAAGGATAAGCAAGAGGAAAGTTAAGAATTCTCAAGCTAAAAGTTTAGGATTATCCCAAACTAGAATCCTTTGTGATTTCACAAACCTAGAGGGAGGCACAATGTTTATTATTCTCCATAAGTATTACACAAAAGTTCTGTTTTGCACTAAAAGGTCAGATGTGTGGCCACTGAAGGCAAATGTCAGCCTTTTGGGGACCTGTATGCTGGAGGCAGTTCTCACTGGAGAAGTTCCAGTCACCTGCTTCACAGGTGAAATCTGAACAAAGAAAGGATTTTTTTTTAAATAGTGTCGGAAATAAGAAACTGTTTATCCTTTCTCTACAGTGGCCGTGTGGAGTGGAGTGAATGTGGCAGGGGTTTCTCTCCAGGAACTGAATCCAGAAATGGGAACGGACAATGATAGCGAAAATTGGAAGGAAGTGCATAAGATGGTGGTGGAAAGGTAAGTGGAGTGGGTTTGATTTAAGATGATTAATTTCATCTTTAGACAGAATAACAATGTCCTTGGCTGCCTGCTCAGATAAGCTCTTAATACAGTAAATATGCAGCTGTTCTAAAAATAGACCAGACTGACTTATACTGGTCACACTTGCTAGGCAAGTTCCCCTAGAGAAAGCAGATGTTTTGCTGGAGAAATTCTGTTGTAGAGGTAACAGGGCAAAACACGGAATCCACAAGTGAGAGGGCTTACGAATTGCCTCCTGTTGGCAAACATGGTTGACCTACCTAGAACCAAAGACAGCATTATGCTTACAATAGCCTGAAATACTTGATTGATTGCTGAAAGTGTCTAAAAGCATTAAACCTGCCCATACAACTAAGGCGGTCTCCCTTTCCCTTCTTTTTCCTTTTTTAAAACGTTTTTTTTACTTACTGTCTTCCTATGACCTTTTCCTTAACTATAAAATAAGGTGTCATTTTGGACTGAAGTAAAGACTATAGGCTTGAATTCAGCCTATAGTGTGATGGTACTTACTAACTATATTCTTGGGGAAGCTGTTTAACCGTTCAGCTGAATCTTTGTTCGAAATAGGAAGATCGGTTGGAAAATGTGCAATTTTACCACTGACTTTGTATTTACTTATACAGTGAACTCTTTAAATTCACAAAACATTTAAAGAGAGCTTACTGTGTAGTGTTTACAATTTCAAACATTTCCCATATATTAAGTCATTCAACAAACTTAGGAAATTGATACCGTTGTTATCCTCATTTTATAGAAGAGGACACTGAGATAAAAATGCTTTAATAACTCAAAATTAGAGCAGGAGTCGAACCGAAAGTCTGGTTTCAGTAACCATTAAGACTGATTGCAATGATTTCTTTAACAATTCTTTTTTCTTAGTGCCTATGAAGTCATCAAGCTAAAAGGATACACCAACTGGGCTATTGGACTAAGTGTCGCTGATCTCATTGAATCAATGTTGAAAAATCTGTCCAGAATTCATCCAGTGTCAACGATGGTGAAGGTAGGACAAGCTATTACAAAATACAATGTTGATTTCTTCTGTTGTTTTCTAAACATAGATGCATTTTCAAAAGGATAAGATAAAGTCTCAGTCCAATAATTTCTGTATCTCCAAAGTTTTAGGAAACTTTTCTACTTTTCCAGCAGAAGCTCATGACAAGAACCATAAAATTTGTAGAGGCTGAGAGATCCTGTAAACTCTTATAATTCTCCCTTGGTGATGGGCCAAATTAAATACTAATTCAGTCTTAATTGGCACATTCTCAAAATATATGATCATTTCTGTCAGTATAATAGTTTCCAGTGGTGTATTAAACTATAGATTGCCTTTGATGTAGCACTTAATACCTTAGCAAATTTAGTTTAAATAAAAAACTATGGAGCAGTTAAGTAGAAATTGGTTATTTTTAAATAAAACTACAATTGTATTAAAACATTGTATAAGGTCTCTGACTCATTTTCTACAAGTCAGTAGCAGGGGTGAAAAAGTAAGAGAGGAAGCAGTAGATGAAGAGAATTGCAAAAGAGACAATATTTGGCAGTAAAATGTGTTCAGTTTGTCTATTTTTTTCTCATTAATATAAAAAAATTTTTAAAAGCAAGTATGGCAAAAATGTTAAATAGTTACTAAGTCTTGGAGTGCATACATAACAACTCGTTTATTCTCTACTTTGGTATATGTATAGAATTTTTGAAACAAAAGCTTTTAAAAATTATTAAAATATACCATATAGTTACATGAACTAATTAGTTATGTAGTTAAACTAACCAGCTTGTGGGTGTTGCAGAAATCTTGCCTTTGAGTGGCCTCCAACTGCTATTCAGGACCCTGTAGGTCAGCTACCACCTAAAATTCCCTCCCAAACTAAAGAATTTTAAGAAACCAGGGACTTCATGAAAAGTAGCGCATTAAGATCCATGTTAGAATGCAATTTAATTTGAAGGTTTATGTACCAAATCGTACTGAAGCATATCTAAGCAGAGAGAAATGTAGTAACGTTCAATAAAATGCTTATGACTTTCTTAGAAATTGTTAGTTTTATCAGAGTATATTGTATCTTCTGTGTATAAAACTTAATTCAAAATATAAGTATTAGGAAAATGAACGAATGAGCTTGTGCGTATGACATTTCCCACATTTTTTTCTTGTTCAAGTAGGACCTGTGATTTCATTTCTTAATGCAAGTGCTTTTCTTGTCTGGCAGGGAATGTATGGCATTGAGAATGAAGTCTTCCTGAGCCTCCCATGTATCCTGAATGCCCGGGGATTGACCAGTGTCATCAACCAGAAGCTGAAGGATGATGAGGTCGCTCAGCTGAAGAGAAGTGCAGATACACTGTGGGACATCCAGAAGGACCTGAAAGACCTGTGACTTCTGGCTTCTAGGCTGTAGAAACTTAGAAACTACAAAGTGATTAACTTACAAGCCTTTAGTTTTCATCCATGTACGTGGACTGCAGTTTGCTTTTATCTTCCTAAATTTGTGAATCTGGGCTCACAAGATCAAAGCCCATGCTTAGTTTAATGCTTGCAGTATAAGCCCTTGAACAAATAAAATTACCTATCATAGTGTGCTTCTGTTTCTGGGATTCTTTAATGATTTCTGAGAGATTTCAGTTTTTCAAAGAGCTCTTCTTCCACATCCCAAATTTCTTTGTCATTCACACTTCATTTTCTATATCCTTCCTCCAGACAGCATGAAAATCCTTCATCACACTGTGGCATGGTTTTGTTGTCCTAAGAATATGGTTAATCTTTTAAAAGATTTTATTTTTTTTTTAGAGCATTTTTAGGTCCACAGCAAAACTGAGAGGGAGGTATAGAGATTTCCCATATACCACTTGACACATGCAAACAGGTGGTTTGAGCATCACCACAGTGGTACACTTGTTAACAGTTGAGTCAACATTGACACATGTTCACTCAGGGTCAATAAATAGTTTTCAGTCGGCTTCACTCTTGGTGTTGTACTTTTACGGAAGTGGAGACTGAAACACAAGTGTTAGGTGCCTGTCTCAGGTCACATTTCCCAACTGCCTCAGTCTTTTCGTATTATGATCATACTTAGATGTAAAGAGGAAGGTTATTTAATTTCATCTTTGTTCTGGTTTATATACAATGCTGAATTTACAATAAGCCCGTGGTTTCCAAGCTTGCATTTCATAGACCAATTGAAAATTTTTAAACTTTGTCAGGGATGGGAAAGAAGGATGTGTAGGGGGCCTCAATAAAACTTCGGCAACTTTTAATTTTGCCACCGAGGACATGGAGCAAAAGATGACCATACATTCTTACCATCGTATGGTCAGATAATACATTTTAATGCCGAAAGAACGGGAAGACTAACCTCAGATTTAGCAGCTGTCAGTGCCAATGTGCAGAAAGGCAAAAACAACAAAATGCTTGGAATGGCAGAGATGAGCTGGGAGAGGTCTGGGTCCTGGGTTTTTACGGAGCTGCTACACCAGCTATGGATTGCCTGCTCCGAGATTGCATTTACGCCAGCAGAAAATGACCACATTCATGGCTCGCCAAAGCTAATTCTTTGCGACACTGTAGGAGTATTGGGAACAACCAAACATAAGGCCAAGTACCTGGAAGCAAATAACTTCTTATCTGATTGAAGAGATAGACTTGAATAAGAGAACACAGCAGGGCACTGTGAAATGCACAGTCCTCAAATTCAGATGGGATGCTTTAGTTCACCTCTGGGGCAAAACAAAATGGAACTGTCAGTGTAGCCTGGAAATAGGGGGGATGCCTAGTAACACCTGACTAGTTAACATAGATTCAGATATTCCATAGGTTAATATCCAAAAGGCAAATAACATTATTTGGAACTGATGTAAAATAAATCCATAAAGGAAATTTTATCTTAAAAAATTTTAGCACTGAAAGTAACCTTGGCCCAAGTACGTTAGAGAGGAAAAACGGAGACCCAATAGGACTAATCTGACTGGTGTAAATGCAACCAAGCTAGTGTGCAGGTCTATTGGTTAATATTCCTTAAAACTGGCTGAAATGGAAGGATTTATTGGTGCACCTAACTGAAAAGTCTGGAAGTGTACTGACATGAAGCAGGACTCTATTCAGAAACAGCAAAAATGTCACCAGGATTATCAAGTTTTTCTCCAACTCCCTGTTCAGCACTTCCCTCTATGGACTTGATTCGCAGTTTCTGTGGCAAGTTATATAGCAATTCCAGTCCTACATCCCCTCATTCAGTGCAAGACAATTTCTAAATGAATCAAAGATTTAAATATAGAAAGAAAAACAAACATATAAGTTAGAAAACAGGGCACATTCCTTAATTACCTTTAATTTGGAAGGATCTTTCTAACCAAGTCTCCAAATCTAGTCAAGAAAGGAAAGAGTGGTTCAATTCAACCACAGAAAAGAACTGCCTACCTGGAAAAAATGACATTAAGTCAAAAGACAACAAGCCAGGGTGGGGGTTGGAGGGGTGTATCCATTCCTATCACAGGCAAAGGGGTGACATAAGGACTCCCTGTAAAGACTTACTAGAAATTGATTTTTTAAATGCCATAAAAAATTAAAAGATATGAACAGATGTCAAAAAAGGAAGCAAGATTGCTGTGAAATATGTGAAAAATCCTCTTCACTCATAAGAAGTACAAATTAAAAGTATACTGATACACCATTTTTTACCTAATAGGAAAAAAATCGTATCGTGTTCGACAACACACTCTAATAGCATGCCTGTGGGGAAATGGAACTCATTTACTGTGGGAAAGAGCATGAATTGATATAACCCTTATGGAGGGCAACTGAACAATATCTATCAAAATTATAGAAACATATGCCTTTGATTCTTAAGTTCCATTTTTGAGAAATAATGTATACTTCTCATACTTGCTAGTATGTATACTAGAAAAAGAATGACATGAAGAATGTCTTAGGCAGCATTGTTTATAATAGAAAAAGTAACTGAAATGTTCATCAATAGAGGACTGTTGAAGTGCCTCTCTTCATTTACTGGAATACTATACCATTGTGTAAAAGAATGAGCATACTTCCCACATACCAACACAGAAAGATGTATCAATAAGTGAAAAGAATAGCCTGCAGAAAAATGGAAAGAGGAAAAGAACATATTTTATGTTTGATTGTATGCACATTAAGAAACTGTAAGGCTATAAAAAAGCCCATATACCTTTAGAGTTAACAGACCACGAAGGAGAGGGAGTGTGAAAGGGTGCATTTTACAGTGAAATTTTTATACTTTTTGGCTTTTGAAACAGGTGATCATATTGTTTATTAAAGTTTTTAAAGTGAAGTGTTAAAAATTGCTTTAAATGTATAAAATAACAAGGACATCAAAATCTTCACAAATTCTGATACATTAATTTTATCTTCTTGTTTCACTTCTTTTCCAGCCTCCTACCTGTGGAATAATAACAAAAACAACTTCATCTTTTATGAAGTGTCCTTTACAAGCATTCTGAATGTTCTAGTAATGATTTTTTTAATGTTCTTGACTAGATCACAGAGTAAAGCAACCTATGCCAATCAGATCGTTAGATTAAAAGAGCTATTTGCTACTGTTTATAAAGTCAGAGTTCACAAAGCTTTTTTAAGACCTTGTAATTATCTCTTGGAAAAATTTGAGATTCAATTAAATGTGACACTATATATTTTCATGTAGAACATATAGTAAACATTATAAGAAATTCTGGGTCCCTTTATAAGCTCCTGGAACTAGCTGTTTCTGAATATTTGCTGTGTTTCAGGGCAATCTGCATCTAAGGGCATTGAGACATGTGTTTCCTTATTTCTAGATTATTAGTGTGAAACCCACAGATCAACCATTCTTTTTAAATATCCTCTATTACTTTAATAATGTAAGACAGATAATAAAGGACAGACTCTACAATGTTAAAACCGATAGATTTAAGTGGGTGGTATTGGAGAAAACATCTTCCATCCCTAGAAGATTTAATTTAATCTATTTTAAAACAACCAAGAAATTGTATCACTAGGGACCAAAGAAGGACAGACATATAGGTGATGAGATTATTCTGAGATGAAACTGGTTTGAGGTGAGAACAACTTCCTAAGAATATAGAAAGCCCAGAGGTTTAGAAAGGTTCAATAACACAAGAACTTTTTCTCCCCAGGGGGAAAAAAAAAACCCAGAAGGTGATGATAACTCACCTCCAGGGTTATCTATTGTTTGTCCTACTGACATGGTATTTGATCACTCACATTACAAAACACGGTTGCTGGGCACTCCTCTTAGCAAGAAGGAACTAGATGGCTGCCTGGAAATTGTGACTCCCACCTGATACCAGGCAGCTGGTACTTTCAATTCATGCCAAAGTCTTACACATGATCATTTCTAATCAGCTACGTAATTCTAAGAACAATGCACAGGATATTTTTAACAGTAGACAAAAATAAACACATATATATTAGTCAAGGGCTTTGCAAGGAGATATCATGAATGTACTTAAAGGATTTAAAGATTAAGCATACAATGTTTCTACCCTATTAATAGGGTTGGGGAAACAGGAGAAAGTGCTAGCACAATGCGTGACTCAAGCAAGCTTTTTGTGAATATTAGTTCAAATGCATATTAACAAAACACAATTTTAGGTTAAAAGACCTATTTTTACCTAAATATTATATTAATGTAAGATCCATATAGACACATGAGAAGGCATTTTTTCTATATATTAAATTTGAACACATTCTAAGGTCAAGAATATATTTACAACTCACTTTGAAATTAAATGCCAACTATATACTTTCATCTGTGCTTCAAACCATGTAATAAGCAGTACGGCCATTTGAATTTTGATACTAGAAATAATTGGACACCAAAAACCCTTTTAAAGATTCAAAAAAATATGTCCTGAGGAGTTGGTTTTGTGTTTTATTTCGTGAGCATGGAGAATGGAATTAGAGAAAAGATGTCTTGTTTTACGTGGACATTTTGAGGCTCATGCATACTGTAGGGAGTTTTACTTACAATAGTGCCCAGCTTTAACTTTATTCTCAGAGATCCTTTATCCCTGTTCTTGTTCATTTTTTTCACCCTACTTCAGAGTTGTGCAACCTTCTCACTGTCATACGTATCACTATGAGCCATTTGAAATATTATCTAAAAAAATGTTTATTATAAGTAAATTAAACTACATAACAAGCAGCTGCAAGCAAAACCTCCAGACGTTTATGGACCGTTAAGCTCCAGCTATTTCACTAGGGGCTGGGATTCCAAGATGAAGACGACGCAATTCTGCCTTCAACAGGCTTGTTGAGAAGAAACAGACGCACACTCAGAAAATTATTATAAAATGCAGTAGGACAACTGTAGCCAGAGGTAATGCACAGGGCATTCAAGGAGCAAAAAAGAGGAATTTCTAACACAACCTAGGAG